ACCAAAAATAGGGAATAAACCAAGAGATTTGTGACTCCTCAAAAAGGGAATTCTAAACAGGAGAGAGGCAAATATACTCTTCAGCAAATGGAGAAGTGTCAGCATGATAGCTGTAAAGCAGACCTAGAGATTAACCAGTCCATACTGAAAGAGTTGGCAAAAAAGGAACAGAAAATGTTTGACCAAATTCAGAATTTTGCAGCCCTGGAAGAGAGTTTGGGGATGAATTAGTGTTAGATACACAGAAAGGAAGCAAGCAAGCAAACAAACAAACAAAAGAGGCAGTATTCAAATCAGAAAAAACAAGAAATAAAATGTAACTGTAGTGTACAAAGTGATCCAGCTGTGAACAATATTTACATGGGAATAATAAGGAAAACACTATTTGGCCATGATACTGTGATACAAATATATTGAAAAGATGTGGGTAGAGAAGTGTGTTTGTGTGTTAGGCTGTGTGGAAGAGATAAATGTCTTTTTTTTTTTTTTCTTTTCAGAGAGGCAAGTCTTTAGATAATGTCTGTATCCATCAGGACAATAGCAGGAAATGAGGTATTTACTCAAACTAGAACGTTTGAGGATAATTTGTTTAAATGATTATTTACAAATAAATGGGCAGCATGCAAGGCAACAAGGGTAGTACAGTGTTCTAGTAATACTGCACTACCCTTATGAAGCCAATCAATGGGCTCGTTGCCCTATGCACATAAAAGCCAATACCATGGTGCTGTGGAAACGGTCTTAGAGAAAAGAAACTTTACAGCAAGTTGACAGGCAAGAAGAAAGGAGGAAACACTTAAATATCTCCCCAGCCTGGGAATGGGTCCAATTTTATAAGCATAGGATAATGAGGAGTGAGCCGATTGGATCTTGCAATGAGGTCACGCCAGGAGGTGTGCTCTGACTGGACCATGTCATGGGGTAATGCCAGGGCTTGATCTGATTGGATCCTGGATCCTGCCAAGAGTGTCCGAGTCTGAATTTAGTTCTCCGGCTCCTTGGTCTGAGCACATAGGTTCCACCCATAGTTGCACACTTCGTTCACCTGCGCATGCTGAGATTATGGACCTTCAATCTGGGGGTCCATGGCAACTGCTTTGTTACGTAAAAGTTGAACCAGATTGGTCTGGTGTGGTTACACTATCCTTGAGTTTGAAGAGTATAAGGTGGAGCCTGAGGACCCACAGCTCTTTGGAAAGACAGTTGTGTAGAGAGGTTTCTTGACAGGTGTGAGAACATATTCTGGGGGATTCAGACCACAGCCAACAGAACCAGAGGCTAAATATGCCAACCTCACTCTTCATCCTCCTTCTACATCTCCTGTAGGTATTCCCTTGGCCAAACTCAACCAGAAGCAAGAGGACAGTTTTACAAGTGAAGAAACTAAAACACAGAGAGATTAGATTAAATTCCTTATCAAAGGTCACAGAACTAGAAGCTAAAAGCAACTGGACAGTTGCCGCTAGGAAACCTGAATTCTATTTAGGGAGGGTTTAGGCAGGAAAATACTTTGCTTGTTTGTTTTTGTTGGTTTTTGAAAAACAGGCTTTATCAATCCATTTGACTTTTAAAACTATGTATTCCACCAATTTATTATTATCCTAATAATGGTAAGAGAAATAATTTGGGAGATTGGGGTTCAAAACCAGCTATAATCGTGAAGGTTGTGGCTGGAAAAGACTGCCTCTCTGATGTTCAGAGTTTGAGAATTAGTCCTTAATGAATGAATGTATATATTGAATTTTTTTTTTTTGAGGAGTATACTTTTCTTGTTTGAACAGCACAGAATCAGCACTAAGCAGAAACCATTAAAATTCTCTGTAACAAATTATCTTAGTAGAGGTCCAATTACCCTGTGATAAAAATGTGCCTGTTCCTCTCCACTCTGTTTGACCTAATTATGTCTTGAGTCAAGTCTCCCCAAATTGCATTTGCACCCTAAAAGCCCTTTAAGAACTAGTTTAACTAGTATCTCAGCTTCAGTTGTGGGTGTACCTTTGATCTAATTTATAAGATCAAGATAATGAAATGTTCAGCCACAATTAAAAGATCATTTTATTTTAGTAGTATAATGCTTAATTTCTACGTATAAAATTTGTTTCTTATTAGTTAAAAATAAGGTTAGATGACATAGAGAAGAATAGTAAATGAAGAAGATTCTTAATTTGGTTTCCATAGACTTCAGGTGTTTCACAAGTACCCTGAGATAGTTTGAAAATGGTGGATGTATATATCTAGGAGCATCTTTCTAGGAAAGGAGTTTCATAGATTTTATTCAATATGATCTGGAATCCAGAGTAAAAAAAAATATGATACAAATCTTTGCTCTAATAACTTCTTAATATTGGGAATTGGAGAGAGAAGAATTTTCCATCAGCACTTTGTTTTTTGGGATGTAAATAAAATGCTGATGAGCAAATGTGAAGACTCCAAATAAATTTCCACAGACTGGTACCAGTAGCCCCTCATGTGGAACCAACCTCAGTCTTGCAGGGAACATAGCAAGGCTATTATACTTCCCAATGGGTGCAAGCAAGCACAATTGGAATCTCCTATGTTCCCTGAAGTCACCCATGTTGCTCCCTGATCTTTACATTTCAAAGCAGATAGTTGTGCCCCTAAAGTAAACAACCCTGTAGCTCTGGCCCAAACCATGTTCTCAGTCTGTCATCCAACTTTTTTTCAGCTCTTTTACTTTCAATATGGTGTTGTTGCCCAGACAACTAGTTCACAGACTGTCCCCCTATCTTGCATCTTATAGTATGTGAAAAAGTTCGGGCCAGGACTCCCTTCTAAATAGTATCTTTGATTCTTGCCAAATCTCAAAGATTCAGTTTTTATTCCTATTTTTGCTTCTTAGAGTATCTAGGCTCTTAGCTTCCAGTCACCTGCAGTTTTCCCTGTGTGGGTGTTATTTTATTCACAATTTTTAATCAGCATCCCATCACTGTAAACCAAAATATACACAGGCAGTACCAATGCTTGATATCCTGTTCAATTCTGTGTCCATAGAACTGAGCACAGAGCTTGGCATGGCACAAACATTTCTCTTTTCCAAGTCTATATACTCCTAGGACAATTGTAGGCTGTGCAAGCTAGACATTGGGTCTGGTAATGTGGCTCATTAGTAAAAATAGGAAGGAGTTGTATCAGTGCACACTGTAAGCCAGAGTTCTGAATTCACTTTGAAGAAATAATTCCATTTAACTGGAAAGATAGAGTTCCTGTATACCCCCACTCAGTTTCTCCTATTATTAAAATCTTACATTAGTGTGATAGATTTGTTACAAATAATAAACAAATATTTATATGTTATTACTAATAAAGTGAATATGTTATTTAGATTTTTTTTTAGTTTACCTAATTTCCTTTTTCTATTCCAGGATCCTATTCAGAATTCCACATTATATTTAGTCATCATATGGCTCTCTTGGCTTAGGGTCTCTTGGTTTTGGCAGTTTTTCAGATTTTCCTTGATTTTGATGATCTTGACAGTTTGAAGAATACTGATCAGGTATTTTATAGAATGTCCCTCAGTTGGGATTCATCTGATAGTTTTCACATGATTATATTGGGGTTAGGGCTTTGGGGGAGAAAGACTACAGAGGTAAAGCACTATTTTTATCTCATTATATCAAGGTTATATACTATCAACATGGCTTATCATGTAGTGCTCACCTTGGTCACCTGGCTGAGGTAATGATTGTGAGATTTCTTTACTGCTTACAAACTCTCCCCCTGCTTCCATACTGTACTTTTGGAAGGCAATCACTATACAGAGTCCACAGTTAAGAAGTAGGAAGCTATGTTATTTGGAATTGTTCTGCCCAGGAGATTTCCTTGAAACACTGAGGTAGTTTCCACATCAAGGAAGCTGTTGATACCAGGCTTTAGGAATTGGTTTGAAGTCTTCACATTCACTTATAGGCATTTTATTTGTTTCCCAAATGTCTCTTCTCTCCCGTTTATTTGTTTATTCAATACATCATAAAATCAGCAAGGAATCATAATTGTTTACTTTCTACTTTGGGTTATAATCCAATATTATTTTATTTATTGTTGCTCAAATTGTTTCAGCTTTGGTCATTGCAGGCGTATATTTTTACATATATATATATATATTTTTTTTTTCTTTTTTTTTTCCCCGAGAGGTCAGAACTTGGTACAAACCCTAGCTCTTGTTATAAATTTGTTACATGCACTTGAAGTTTTTCAAAAGCCTGCAGAGGGCCACAATTATTTTGAAAGTGCTTATGTGCCTAGTGTTTCTTGTTCCTGAGGCTCCTGGAAATTACCTTTATTCATCCCACTTGGCAGGAGGGTTTCATTCTGTCTTGTTTTCTGGTGAGTGGATCCAGAGGGTCATGGGGGGTTGGAACATGAGATAGTGGCCCTTTGCCACTCCTGTGGCCACAGTCGCTCTTGTCGCAGAGCGCACGGCCCTGCCGGCAGGGGCCAGTTTCAACCTGATAGTGACAATGCTGCATCATTCAAGCCGGAAAGATTTCCGTCCGTGGTATCAGACGTCTTTATGCAATAAAAATTATTTTGGCAGAATGCCTATACCTCTCCTGAGATATTGGGAAGGTTCAAATCCTGAGATTATTTACACTTTTTTACTCCCCGCCCCGCCACCCGCGATTATTTATTCTTGGTAAAGACTCTCTGCTTCCCTCCCCAGCTCTTCGGTTTGACAATCTAGGATCGCTTTTGTATCCTGCCACTTCCCTATCATTGCTGGGGCGGCAATGAACAGTTCTGGAGAAGTCATGTCCCATTCTTGACACCAGGAAATCTTTACTGCTGAAGAATTTGGGAGAGGCTCAGTTATTCGCCATAGAAGAGATCAAGTCAAAGCTTTATCGGTGCGAAGCTAGTTACAAAACCCTGCTTTGCAAACTTTCGAGCTTTTTATCATGCTTTACCCCGTAGTCTCCACGAGGTGGAGCCTTTCCGGGAAGTAGAAAGCATCTCTCGGTGTCCTTCCCCGCTCCAGGTCCCGCCACAGCCAGGACTGGTTGGCTTGCCGGCTCAGATGAAGTCATCCACAATATACATGTCACAGAATTAAACTTCCGAAAGTGTTCCTAAAGTTACGAGAAGAGAATGCAGGACAAACGCTCGGGAGGAAGCGAGCCTTGCTGGTCCTCCGATAACGCAATCTCTTAGCTCGGCCGATGCCCTGCTGGAGCCTCCTGGCCCCGGTGTCCAGCAGCCTGGCTGAGGGCTGCCGGACGGAGGTGGCGGCCCGGAGAGCTGCACAAAGCAGAGGGGCGCTAAGAGTCTGGGGAGGCGCAGACCTACCTTATCTGTCTCTGGAAACCAGTTTGCTCTTGGGTTTTTGTACAAGAGCCCTGTGCGCGAGAGAAGAGGAACGTGTGCCACGGAAGCAGCTAAGGAAAAGCAATCTGCAAATTTAGCATCTAGAAAGGAAAACAACACAAGTTCACAAATGGGAATATATTCCATCAGGAAGAAATGCTAACAAGCGTTTTTTGTTGCATGGTTCCATGGTGTAATGGTTAGCACTCTGGACTCTGAATCCAGCGATCCGAGTTCAAATCTCGGTGGAACCTATGTCATTATTATTTTCTTTTTAGAATAAATTGCTCTTTTAGTGATGATTGTTAGGGAATCTCCGGTTCACGTGAACTCAGTGTGACTCAGGCGGTGTGAGGGTTCCACTAACTCCCTGCCATATCATTCTTCTCACTTCCTCCACTCTATTCCCCGCCCCGCCCCTCCAACAGATATTCTGATACCCATAATAATTTTGAGTTGAGTTGAACTTTTTCATCGATTTATTGCTTTATAAAATGTAGTGAACTCACTTCATGTAGGAGAGAAAGGATCCAACAGATCTGAGGAAGAAGAAAGATCCTCATGGATATATCTTTTGGCTCAGTGAGAATGAGGCTTTATAATGCCTATGTGGTACAATCACCAGAATTTATAGGTGTTTCATCTTCCACTGAAAAATACAGATTTGTGAAAATATCAATACATTTGTACTTTAAGTGAAGAATTGCTTGAACTCTCTCAGTATTTGAACACTGCTGGATCCCCACATGAAAACTTGAAGCACTGTCAACAGAGTAAATAAATATCCAGATACATCTTCTAAGTGGTGTTAGAACCATGTGGTGTTCTGTTGGTCATTTCTTAACCCAAGACGCAGAATTGTTGTTTATGCTGAGTATGTCCCATAGAAATCTTAGACAGAGCTTTAAAATTGTATTCTAAGATGTCTCTGAGATATTTTATCTTTATCAAATGGTCTCCTATTGCAAGTTAGTTCATTTTCTGGTTAATGTCTGGATTTGTCACAACTTAAAGCAAGACAAAAATGTTACTGGGTATCTCAAGAAGTAAGTCCAAAGTGCTATCCTTAGTTTGATCTTATATATTAGTATTTCTAAAAATTGTATATTTTACTTCAGCTACATGGTATCAGACTATATATAATCTAATAGGGTCTTACTTTCTTCATTTAATAATATATTGCTAAAATTAATCATTACTCTTGTTGTATGTAACCACCATTCAGTCATTCATTTCATGCTAGCTGCTATATAATATGAATATGACACAATTCATTCATTTGCCTTTGTTTTAATGGGAAACCCTCTGTATTATATACAAAGTTGTATATAATATGAATTTGATTTTGAATTATGCCAGCTCTTGTTCCACAAGAAATTAAAAATTGTTTTAGAGCAGAGGAAATCCCTGATACTGTAACCTACATTTAGCTGCAAATTTATAACTTTTAAGCTGTTGTTTTCCCCCTACAAATGCTTCAGCACGTTTATTCATTCTTTCATATTGTACCCAATCCAATTCCTCATGCATTTTCTGGTGTTAACTGCTAGTAGAATTGTGTTCCCCTATGTCGAGTGCCATGCTAGACCCTAAAAGCTTAAATATCCACCTGCATTTGTTGCTTATCTATTCTTTCACTTTTATCAGGGAGCAATTCTGCATAAGACTTATTCCACATATTTCTTCTGAAAGAAGTCTTATTGTAGTACATCTGAATGGCAAAGCTTGGGCACATGCCTTCCATCCTAGCTGCACAGAAGCCTAGGAAATTGTCTTAATCCGGACTGCTATAACAAATACCATAGGCTGAGTGGCTTAAACAACAGACGTTTACTTCCTACAGTTCTGGAGGCTGGGGAATTCCAAGATCAAGGTGCTGGCAGATTCAATGTCTGGTGAAGGTCCTCTTTCTTTGCAAACTGCCACCCTCCTGCTGCATCCTCACAAACTGGAGAGGGAGATAGAGATCATTTCTCTCCCATTTCTTCTTATAAGGTCACTAATTCCATTCATGAAGAATTCACCTTTATGACCTAATTTCCTACTACAGGTCTCACCTCCAAATACAATCACGTTGAAGATTAGGGCTTTAACATATAAATTGGGAGGGGACACAAACATTCAATCCATAGCAAAAATTTAGTTATGATTTTTCCCCTGAGGATACACAGTTCATTGCTAGAGAATTCTCCCTAATTATATGAAGTCTTAGCCATATTAGACCATTATGTTCACCAATAAGATTATCATCTATAATTGCTTTTTTATGACTTCCCAAACTTTTATTTTTCTACTATTTTTCTCTTCCATTATAATTCATCCACAGAATCTATTAAAATGTTGGTAATAACTAAATTATGAGATGTAGAAATAAGATGGAACTAAAATTATGAATAATGATAATATATGAAATAGGATGTTGTGATTAGGGTCAAATTATACTAGAGTCATATATCATAATAAAAGATAATTAAAAATAATGTTTACTGAAATCACAATTTAAGCAACTCCTGAATGACTATAAAATTAATATTTATCTGAGGTCATGGCCAAAGCTATACTTTTGCTTGGTATATGAAATGCCAGGATATAAAACTCTAAAAAATTATTGAAAAATTAATTAATCCTATTTAATGTATTATATTATTCATTTAGCATATTGATAATTAGAATCACATTATAATCAAAATTTTAGTAGTCAAAATTTAGAAGATTGATATTATTGTGTATCATTGTCATTTACTAGATTTTTCTTTTTTGAGACACAGTCTCACTTTGTTGCCCAGGCTAGAGTGAGTGCCGTGGCATCAGCCTAGCTCACAGCAACCTCAAACTCCTGGGCTCAAGCGATCCTTCTGCCTCAGCCTCCCAAGTAGCTGGGACTACAGGCATGCGCCACCATGCCCAGCTAATTTTTGATATATATACTTTAGTGGTCAATTAATTTCTATTTTTTTTAGTAAGACGGGGTCTCGCTCAGGCTGGTTTCGAACTCCCGACCTTGAGCAATCCGCCCGCCTCGGCCTCCCAGAGTGCTAGGATTACAGGCGTAAGCCACCGCGCCAGGGGGCAAAATTTATTAATGAAGATTAGGTAATGTGACATAAATATAGAGTATTCTAAGCCTATTGTTCATAGTTTTTAATGGTATTTGTTAACTCCCTGACATAGTTTCCACAATTGTTAGTTTTGTGTCAGGGCATCTCTCTGTGAGAGGGCAAATAAATTTTATTTTACTTATCATGGAATTTTGAGCCAAAAAATAAGTTAAGAAGCTCTTTCTTAATAACTTTTTGACTGGAATGGGAGGAAGAAGAATTTGCTAGTTCCATATTGTTGTTTTGGGAAACAATTAAATTGACTGCAAAAAGATATGTGGGTTTCAAACAAATCCTGTTTAACTCGTGTAACAGGTTTGTCTCATATGAGCTCAACGTCTGTCTTCCCGATGACAGAGCCACACCCAGCACTATAACAAAGAATAAAGCTGTATCTGAAATTGCTGTGCTCACTGTCATGCCCATATATATTTCTGATGTTCACAGATTAAAACAGGCACATGTTTGGTACAGCCATTATGGAAAACAGTATGGGGGTTCCTCAAAAAACTAAAAATAGAGCTACCATATGATCCAGCAATTCCACTACTGGGTATTTGTCCAAAGGAAATAAAATCAGTATGTAGAAGAAATATCTGGGTTCTCATGTTTATTGCAGCATTATTCACAATAGCCAAGATAGGAAATCAATCTAAGAGCCCATCAACAGACAAATGTATAAAGAAAATGTGATATAAATACAAAATTGAATACTACTTAGCCATAAAAATGAATGAAATTCTGTCATTTGTGGCAACACGGATGAGCCTGGAGGACATTATATTAAGTGGAATAAGCCAGAGAACAGAAAGACAAATACTGCATGGTGTCACTAATTTGTGAAATCTAAAAAAGAAGTACAGAGTAGAATAGTGATTTGCAGAGGCTGGGGAGTGTAGAGAGAAAGGGATAATGGGGAAAGATTGGTCAACTGGTACAAAATTACATAGAAGAAATAATTTCTGGTATTCTAAAGCACAGTCAAGTGACTATAATACATAATGTTATAATGTATATTTCAGAGTAACTATAAGAAAAGATTCCGAATGTTCCCACCACAAAGAAATGATAAGTACTTGAGAAAAGGGATATGCTAAACACCATGATTTGATCATTATACAATGTATACATGTATCAAAACATTACACTCTACCCCATAAATATGTATAATTTTTATGTGCCAATTAGAAACAAAATTAAAAAATTAGAAAAACATGCAATGAAACAACTGTTCCCTTATGTGGAAACCTGATTACTAAAAAATTATTAATGAATCATGAACATAAGAAATAAAACAAGCACATGTCTACCTAAATCAAATAATTTTCAAAGCCTTGCCTAATCCAAAACCTTGAAGCTAAGGGTATTGTCAAACTTATCTTTATTTTTTTGTATATTTTACTATATGTTGAGAACAAACACCACTTTATGGATCTAGTTCCACAAGCTGCCTCTCGTATATGGAAAGATATTGGCCAGCACTTCCTTCTAATCAGCATCTTCAAGGCCCATCTACCTAAAATTTACGGATTTCAATGTTATTTAAGCTTTCCACTTTATCATTTCTGTAAGACTGGTGGTGGGTCCCCTTCCCCTCCCTAGATCAAAAAGAAAAGGCTCACGAGACCAGACCCGCCAAGGACAACTGCCAGGCCCCGCTGAGGACAACCACACCTAGATGTCCACCTGGATAAGAAAGTTTTGGCTCCTGGATTCCACAAATACCGCCAGCCCCTCCTATTTCTCAATGACCACCAAAGGTCACAATGGAAAAACCCCAGCTCTTCCCGACAAAGTCCTCAGCCCACTCAAAATGATGTAAAAGCCTCCCTTCCTTTCAAACGGGTGTGACTTCTTGGGACTCCCTCTCTTGGGACCCGAGAACCTTGCCCAGGACTGCTCAATAAAGCCAAGTTGTTTGGCCCCACTCTCTGTCTGTCTTTTCTTTTTGCCGCTGCCAAAAACTTTATAATTTCCATGGTGCTGTCAGTTGTAAGCAGTTTCTTCAAACTCTTCTCCCTGTGTGGGTTGTTATTTGCATGTTTATAGAGTCATAATGGACACTAACAGCACAAGGGCAGGGACCAAGCTCTTTGCCTTGCTTACCTTTGTGTTACTATACCCCTATCAATAAGACTAAATCCATTCAGGAATGGGTTTTATCACATCATGAATTGTATAAGGCCTGGTGGATTATTTGAGCTAGGGAGTCTGAGACCAGCCTGAGCAAGAGTGAAACCGTGTCTCCACTAAAAATAGAAAGAAATTAGCTGGGCAACAAAAAATATATAGAAAAAATTAGCTGCACGTGATGGCACATGCCTGTAGTCCCACCTACTCAGGAAGCTGAGGCAAAAGGATTGCTTGAGCCCAGGAGTTTGAGGTTGCTGTGAGCTAGGCTGATGCCATGACACTCTAGCCCAGGCAACAGAGTGAGACTCTCTCTCTCTCTCTCAAAAAAAAAAAATGATTTTTATAAAAGAAACTCTTTAACCAAATTGGCTCTGTGGTGTAATGGGTAACACTCTGGTTCCTAAATCCAGCTATCTGAGTTCAAATAGCTTGTTTCTTTTACAGTTTTGTTTCCATGTTTTACTTTTTGTTTTGTTTTGGTTTTTGTCTACATAAACAGTACTAAGCAATTTTATCCTTGATATTTCTCAATATATTTATATCTGCATCTGGGAGGCTTCAGGTAGCCACATTATATTTCATAAGAAAGGAAAGAGGGGTCAAAAGCAAATACTTCCATTTAAAATAGCATCAATGAGGCCGGATGCGGTGGCTCACGCCTGTAATACTAGCTCTCAGGGAGGCCGAGGCGGGTGGATTGCTCGAAGTCGGGAGTCCGAAACCAGCCTGAGCAAGAGTGAGACCCCATCTCTACTATAAAAAGAAAGAAACTAATTGGCCAACTAATATATATATAGAAAAAATTAGCCGGGCATGGTGGCACATGCCTGTAGTCCCAGCTACTTGGGAGGCTGAGACAGAAGGATCGCTTGAGCCCAGGAGTTTGAGGTTGCTGTGAGCTAGGCTGACGCCATGGCACTCACTCTAGCCTAGGCAACAAAGCGAGACTCTGTCTCAAAAAAAATAAAATAAAATAAAATAAAATAGCATCAATGGTGACTCATGCCTGTAATCCTCTGGGAGGCTGAGGCGGGCGGATCGCTCAAGATCAGGAGTTCAAAACCAGCCTGAGCAAGAGTAAGACCCCCGTCTCTACTAAAAATACAAAGAAATTAATTGGCCAACTAAAAATATATAGAAAAAAAATTAGACAGGCATGGTGGCACATGCCTGTAGTCCCAGCTAGTTGGGAGGCTGAGGCAGAAGGATCGCTTGAGCCCAGGAGTTTGAGGTTGCTGTGAGCTAGGCTGACATCATGGCACTCTAGCCTGGGCAACAGAGTGAGACTCTGTCTCTAAAATAAAATAGCATCAAAAAATAAAATACTCAGGAATAAATTTAACAAAAGAAGTAAAAAATGTATACTTTGAAAACTACAAAACATTGTTGAAAGAAATGAATAAAAATCTAAACCAATGGAAAGATATCCTATGTTCATGGGATTGCTAGACATTGTCAAGATGGCAATATTTCCCAAATTAACCTATAGATGCAATTCTATCAGAATTCTAGCTGACTTTTTTGTAGAAATTGACAAATTGATTCTAAAATTCATATGAAATTTCAAGGGACCAAGAATAGCCAGAAAAATCTGGAAAAAGAAGAAAAAACTAAGAGGATCCACACTTCCAAATTTCAAAACTAACTACAAAGCAATGGTAATCAAGACAGGGTGATACTATTATAAGAATAAACATATAGATCAATGAAATAGAATTGACAGTCCAGAAATAAAGCCATGTGTCTATGGCCAACTGATTTTTGACAAGAATGCTAAGAGCCCAGTGGGGGAAAGAATGGTCTTTTCAACAAATGTTGTTAGGAAAACTGGATAACTACATGCAGAAAAGTAAAGTAAATCTTCATGGCCTCAGATTTGGTAATGGATTGTTAGATATGATACAAAAAGCATAAACAACAAAAAAAGAATAGATAAATTAAACTTTATCAAAATTTAAAACCATTGTGCTTTAAAAGACATTATCAAGAAAGTGAAAAGACAACCCAAAGAATGAAAGAAAGTATTTGCAAATCATTTATCACACAAGGGACTTAAATCTAGACTATATAAAGAACTCTTACAATTTAGTAATAAACAGGTAATGCATTAAAAATGAGCAAAGAACATGGAAAGACATTTCTCCAAGAAAGATACAAAAATAGCCAATAAGCACATGAAAATATGGTCAATATTATTAGTTATCTGGGAAATTCAAATCAAAGCCACAGTGAGATACCACTTCACCCTCACTAGCACTGCTTTCATTTAACTCTCATATAACTCTCATATAACTCATTTAACTCTCATGTAACTCTCATTTAACACTCATATAAACTCTCATTTAACTCTCATATAATAACAAGTGTTGGGAAGAATATGAAGAAATCAGAACCATCATAAATTGTTCATGGGAATGAAAATGGTACATCCATATTGGAAGACAGTCTGGCAGTTTTTCAAACTATTAAATATAGAGTTACTACATGATCCAGAAATTCTACTTTTAGGTATATATGCAAGATAAAAGAAAACTATAAATAAATAACTAGGTAATATTCAAGTTATATTAAAGTATATATAGTAAAAACTAAAATCTCTCTTCTATGCATGTATTCTACTTATTACCATCCATAGCAGCAAACTAAAACTAGGTTTGGTATAACTTCTCAGAGTTAATAGATATGTATATACATAATCTTTCATTCTATTTTTGCACCATTGATAGCAAATCATATATACTGTTTGTGTCTTGGTTCTCTTTCTTTCTTTCTTTCTTTCTTTCTTTCTTTCTTTCTTTCTTTCTTTCTTTCTTTCTTTCTTTCTTTCTTTCTTTCTTTCTTTCTTTCTTTCTTTCTTTCTTTCTTTCTTTCTTTCTTTCTTTCTTTCTTTCTTTCTTTCTTTCTTTCTTTCTTTCTTTCTTTCTTTCTTTCTCTTTCTTTTGTTATTTCTTTCCCTGAAAAGTATATCTTTATAAACTCACCATATTGGGTATAAAGAAAGAAAAGTATATCTTGGAATGTATTTCATATCAGCATAGAAGTGCACCCCATTCAATTTTTAGCTGTGGAATTCTCCACTATGTGGATGCTCCAAAATTTGTTTTAAAAGTCAAAAATTCATATTCATTTTAGGTTTTTAAGATCATCGCTAATGCATAGAATTCTAAAGGGAATGTCAAAATCTGTCCAAGTGTAGGATATATCTCATGGATTCTCATCAGAAGCTGACAGAACAGTTCTCCAAGTAGTTACAGGGATGAAAAGGAAAAACAGAAGCTGACAGAGCAAAAACCTGGTGTCATTTCAACAACCCATCAGAATAAGGAGTCTTTTTAGTCTTGAGGATAAAGTGTTACTCACCAATTTGGTACAACATCTGCGTCTGAGCTGGGGCTGTTTCTGTGCTCTGAATAAGTCACAACCTCATTTTGAGGTTTTTAGTCCCTCTCACTCCACCACCGTCTTGGACTCCAAGACAAGCCAACCAGTGTGACGTCATCCTGTTTTTTTTTTATTGGGTTACAATGAAAATTGCTTTGCTTAACTTTCATACTTGTGTGTTGGTTTGCTCATTAATGCCTAGTTTAGAGTCGCGTCGTGGTGACCGTAACTATGAGTCTTGCCTAATTTGATCCTGGATTTCCTGGCACTTCCTTTTCTATGTGAACGAGGATATACATGACTGGAGAAGATCCCCGATGAAGGAATAATTCTGTGGAGACGCAAACACTCCTGTTAACTTTTTCTTTAGGAAAGGCTGCTTTCAAAACAGGATTTTGACCTGAGCAAGAGCGAGACTCGTCTCTACTAAAAATAGAAAAAATCAGCGGCGCATGGTGGCGCTAACCTGTAGTCTCAGCTACCCTGGAAGCTGAGGCAGGAGGGTCGCTTGAGCTCAGTCCGAGGTTGCAGTGAGCTATATGTCGTCACTGCACTCCAGCTGGGGTGACAGCGCGAGACTGTCTCAAAACAAACACCAGGATTTTGATTGCAGGAAACACGAAGGCATCATCAATTCTTGGGCTCTTCTTGGGGGTAAAGAAAACACCAATAAGATTTTTGAGAAGTATGTGGAGTATTTTTAGTGGGTCCGTATAAAAGGAAACAAAATCTCGCCAGGTTGGCAAGCAACCACGTTTTTCTTCCTGGGAGACGCTACGAGACTCTCAACTGGGTAGTAGTTTCCCTTCCCCAAAACAAAGACACCGTAGTCGGCAGGATTCGAACCTGCGCGGGGAGACCCCAATGGATTTCTAGTCCATCGCCTTAACCACTCGGCCACGACTACATGAAAGTCATACAGGCTGTTAGTGTAAGTAGCTGTACTGAACTTTAGGGCTCTTCAAATTGGCAAATTTTCTACTAGAAACTGTATTTGCTGTCAATGTTTCTCATTTTTCCACATTAGTTAGATGAAATTCGTGCTGTTGTGGCAAACTGACAGGTAACATTTTATCCTCAAAACTAGGAGGACCCCTTTTTCTGATGGCGTCATGGAAGGAGACTAAGCCAAAGACAGTCCCAGAGACCAAGCTTCCTGCTGTCAGCTTCTGATGGGGATGCAGGACATACACCCTACTACTGGGACAGCTGTAACATTCGCTGCCGAATTTTGAGTTACAGCAACTAGTTGGGAAAACTCGAAATAACCATCATTAAGGAAAAAAAAAAAAATTCGGAGGCTCACGCGTGTAGTCCTAGCACTCTGGGAGGCCGAGGCGGGAGAATCGCTTGAGGTCACGATTTTGAGACCAGCCTGAGCAACAGCAAGACCCCCGTCTCTACCAAAAATAGAGAAAATGAGCCGCGTGTGGTGGTCCGCGCCGGTAGTCCCAGCTACTCAGGAGGCTAAGGTGATCGCTTGAACCCAGGAGTTTGAGGTTGCTGTGAGCGAGGCTGACGCCACGGGCACTCTTCCCAGGGCAACAGAGAGAGATACTGCCTCCTAAAAAAAAAAAAAAAAAAAAAATGGAATCCATATAATGGATGCTTCTGTAACTGATAGGATGAATGAAGTACATTTCTATAATGCTGATATGAAATACACACCAGGATATACTTTTAGCAAAATAATGCTAGTCATTATATAATACTTCACATTTTGCAAATATCCTCATTCTCATTTAGTCCTCACATCACAAATGAGGGGCTAAGAGAAATATCCAAGCTCACAGGCATCTGAGAATTACACTTAGAGCAGTAGGCTAGGTATCTTACCTGACATTCTCTGTTATTTGATCATAGACACTATCTGTGCCTTTAGGATTATTTCTACATGGCCTACAGAAGCAAAATCAACAAGATGGTTAAACATGAATGGTTAAACATTTTTCTCAGGTAGCTATTTATGAAACTAAACTGATAAGCAGTATATGCCATCAGTAAGCCTTAAAAGGGGATGGCAATTGTCATCCAGTATTTGTCAGTAAGCCGAACAACTGCCGTTTTTCTATGCACAAGGAAGATTAATCCATGAATATGGAATATGCAACCAGGGAAAATTTGATTAGCAGATTCTAACATTAACTATTTGTCCACTTTATGCCCAAATTGAAAGGTTCACAGTTCTCCATTCGATGAACAGCAAAATATTTAATAGGTTTTTGGTGAGACTCAAGGCAGTTGAAACACCTTGAAAATGCAGGAAAAATGGCCTGGATTTGTTCATAAAGTTAAACTGTAAGTCCCCAAAAATGCTTCTTTTAAATAGTGTTCAGTTTCATTAAGATGTCAGTCAGAAAAATCTTATATTTCTTCTAAGAATTAGGTATAATTCAAAATAAAATAATTTTATTTTACCTGTATCCTGATAGATCAACTCTGCAATCACTGATGGCTAGAGACATGGGATAATCAAGAATAAGAATTCATCATTCAATCTCTGAATAAATAGATTCAGAACATTTCTAACATTTTTATTAAAATATTGGTAGTCTAAAGCATTGGTAGAAAACTCACAACCATTTGATTTAAAGGATGTACCACCTATTGTGTGTGTATATGCAGAAATAAATTATAAAGCAGACCTCAAATAAAATGTTCCCCAAATCTTAAAAAAGTAAACATTTATACTTTAAATATAAAAGACTCATAAAAGTGTTCTCTATCCCAGTGTCCTTCCAAAATGACTTTTAAAATAAAAAAAAAAATCAAGTTAAACATCAGCAGGCAAGAAAGAGAGGAAAAATCTTCATTAATTCTAACAATATTTGACGAGTATTGGTTATTTGAGAAACAAGTTCAAGATGCATGCATTCGCTGTGGAGTGCATTGAATAAAATAAGTTGATTGGTCCAAGGTCTGCTTCAAGCAAATGTCAACTCATAAGCAACATCAATAAATACCCAATTAATAAAATACACGGTTCTGCTAATTCACTCATAAAACTTAGATGATAATGATTATTTCATTATGTAGAAAACTAAACAAAAATTAACCCATAATCACACAATCCAGAAACCAGCACTGGCAATATTTTGGAGTATTTCTCTTTTCCTTCTAGGATTTTATATCCAAAAATTTTGCATAGACGAAATCATGCTTATTGCATCCTGCTATTGTCAGTGAACATATATCATAAACATTTTCCATGAGCAATTACAGTCTTCCAACATGTTCTTAGTAGCTTTGTAATTATCTATTAGGCAGAAGGAGCCAAAAAATTATCCATTTTTAATATATATTTTTCACTATCATAATTAGAAATAAATTCTGTGCAGTACATTTTTTCCTTTGGTTAACATTATTTCTCTAGGATACTGAGTTCTCAAACTTCAGTGGGCATCAGAACCACTTGGATGGCTTGTTAAAACAGACATTGTCCCCCTATCCCCACCACCCCAGTTTCTGAATCCGTTGATCTGAGTCAAGCCCGATAATCTGCACATCTCATAAGTTCCCAGGAGGTGGGCAAACTGCAGGGCGAGGACAGCACTTTGGGAAGACTGTTCAAGGACAATGAACTTCAAAATGAATTTACTTCGTCAGAGGTTATAAACCCTTTATAAGCCTAAATAGAGATATATAGCAAATGCCATAGTAGTGAGACCAAACAATATTTGCAAGAATACAGTGAAGGAAACGTCATTCTTGTTTTTTTAGAGGGAAAACAAAAGCGGGAGAACTTTCACTGCCAGAGAGACATTGCTGGCCTCAATCATAGAAGTCACTCACCTTCCCTTTGTATCTGCCTTGGCGATCCACTTCCATTTGCAGAATTCGGAGATATTTTTCCTGATATTTCTGTAAAAAAGAATCTGATTCAAGTCTTCCCTTCTATTCCACTCTAATAAACCACATACTGTAGTCTCTGACGGAAGAATCAACACTATTAATTTAGCTTAATTTATTCTGACATTTTTACGTGTTTTCACCTCTTTTTTGAGCTTTTTTTTTGTGTTAGGTGGGACAGAGATGCCCTCTCGCTGAGTCAAGATACTTGAAAACCTTTTTCGGAGTTCTTCCCTTTTCCCTGGGCTCGGGTGGCCGACGGCTTTCATCTCTTGGAAATGGTCTCCAGTCCTTCACCAGAACCAACTGGAGCAAACTTTCCCTGAAGGTCAGAGACTTCCCCAGCATCGTATCTTCCAGTTAGGACAGAAACCAGTCCCTTCCTCCCGGCCTATCACCCCATTAGTCCGGGTTTAACCGTTCCTTTGGAAGGACAAGTCAGTTGAATGCCATTGAAGAGATTCCTGATTTAAACTCTGTAAGTAAACGCAGATGATCCCCATTTTTGCACGTTCCCTTCATTCCTTCCCCCATTGGCATTTATACAAGCTTGAGGTTGCTTGGAGCCAACACTCAACTCAAAACTCCCTTTCTGCGGGAATACTGGGAATTAGGTATCAACGAACGTACGTGTCCGTGGATATTAGTGGCAAGTGGACAAACTCCAGCATCCAGGAAGTTTGAGTTGCTTGTTTAGGGGCCCTTTTTTGAAATTCAACACTATCTACTGGTTCTTAATTTGCTCTGGGCCAGCTCTTGCATTCGTGTGGGAGAGGCCTGGATAGAATTGTGAAATTCTTTATTGCCAGAACTATTGCTTCCAAATGCACCACACATTTACTCGTAGTTTACCTCTTCTTTCAGATAGAGCAGTAAGTAGCAAACAGGTAGTCGTGGCCGAGTGGTTAAGGCGATGGACTTGAAATCCATTGGGGTTTCCCCGCGCAGGTTCGAATCCTGCCGGCTACGGTTTTACCATGAACGTTGCAAGACTTTCCTTCGAGTTTTCCCACCTAATTCAACCAAAACCTATCCTGTCCTCCACCTGCAGGTTAAGAGAACATCCTGTTTCCTCAATGGATGGAGACTGCCTTCTCTCGGGTTTACTTCAAAATTGGCATCACCTATGGAAGATTTATATTCCTTAGATCACAGCCAACAGGGAATCTGACATAACTTCCTATCAGACGTCAGAGGCCTCTGCCTGTCTAAATAGGACCTTGGTGCCCTCGTTAACTACTGTCAACTCAAGGGAAGTCAGGGTCATAAAAAGTAGTGATACCGGCAGGTAATTTTCATGGAACACTTAACGATGGTCTAAGATGTGAGTTAAGGGCAAACCACGTAATACTTTCATCTCCATTTTACAGGTGAAGAAACTACTAAATGCTGCACAGTGTAATGGTATTTTAACTGAATACTTCCAGATAAGGTTGTGAATCCAGGTTTCATATATTCCACAGAGGGCACTCCCAGAATTATTAGGTTGTTAGTAGATTCAAGGTTAGATTTGTTAGTATCCAAAAATAATAAATAGTAGGTTCTATTTTTCAAGTACTTACTACACACCACCATTCCAAAGGCTTTGAGAGGTCTGTCCAGAAGCTACCTAGCCGTTGTTAATATAACAAACGGTTAGCACACGGATGTAACCTGGCAGCCAAGGACAGTGGACTGGAATGCACATGCGTGAACAATGCAGTCTTCGCCTTACTGGTCAGTGGAGGCTAGAAACTGTTCAGTGAGCATGTGTACTGCGTGGCCATCGCATTCAAAATGAAAGAGTAGAGCAAGGAATCTGCATCAAATTTTGTGTTGAGCTTGGACATTCCTCTGCGGAAACTATTGGGATGATTCAGAAGGCTTTTGGGAATGATGCACTGAGTGTAGTGCAAATGTAAATGTGGTACAAACACTTCAAAGATGGTCGAGAATCTGTTGAAAGTGATCCACGTTCTGGAAGGCCTACAACAAGTAGAACACCTGAGAATACTGAATGTGTACAGGTTAGGTTAAGAGATGCTGGGAGAACTATGTGAGATCCCAAGGTGCCTACTTTGAAGGGGATTGAGGCGTCATTGTCCTATGCACAGTGTTTCTTGTATCTTGTATCATCTTCAAGAAATGTCTCTATTTTTCCTATTACATGGCTGATACTTTCTGGACAGATCTCATACATGTCTTAAAACTTGTAGATCTCACAACATACTTATTTTACAGATCAGAAGGACCATGGACATTTAAACATATATGAATGGCTGAGATCTCAGAGCTAGAGGGCAGCAGATCGGAACATGAATGTCTCTTGATTTTTGGCTCCAAGGTCCTCGCACACAGCAGCTGTACCAGTCTGCTTCTGCCTGGGCTGGGGATTAACATCACCACATACCTCTATCATTTAGATTTTGTTCACTGTTCTGGCTTTATTCTGTGGTGATGAGGCCATGAAGTGGTACAATTTAACCTGCTGGATTTAGCCTGGAGTAGGATACTGCTGCCCATGGGGTGTTGGTGTTTGTGTAATACGAGGAGTACCGCACTCATCAGTTCATGGGAGTTTATCTGTTTTTGAATGGAGTGTTTCTTAACACTTTATAAAGAGCTTCTCAACATATTAGACCTTTTCAGCCACTGGACACCAGAACCCCATACTGAAAAGACTCTTGGGAACAGAGTCCAAGGCTGGTTTGAGAGAAAGGTAAAAAACTAGTTTGGCCCCAGAAATAGAGAGAGATTGTAGTTATGCTACACATGCTAGAAGGACCTGAGATTTTTTTTAACACTACAAAGCAAAGAGTCACAAATTTGCCCAAATTTTGCATTAGTAAGAATTAATACCTCAATTCTCCTGAATAGAGACCCCAGAGCAGATTGTTTTATCAGCGCTTCCTACTTCCTCCATCATGTGGACAAAAGTGTTTATATAGACTTCACAATGATTGGAAGACACAAATAGTAGTTTCCAAGGCTTATAACTTCTTGTCAAGAAGACAGAAAGATGAGAAGTAGCCTTCTCTAGAGAAATATCCAACGTTGTGAGAGTGGAAAAACACCTACAAGATATTTAAGGAAACATAATGTGAGTCAAGAATTTTATATTCAGCTAAGATGTATTTTGTGGCAAAGACAGTGTGTTCACACCAGAACGTATTAAGCAGCATTTTAAAAAATAGAGGTCCTGGGTAAAAAGAAACTTGCTATTAATTGCTATTAACTGGTACCTCTGATGCCATTAGAATTACTTCCCATGTTGGAAATATTTAACAATTTCAAACGATCTTTTTGATGTGCACAGAAGATAAGCATTATATGAGTCAATGATTACTTTCTATCAGAGTTACTTTTCTAGTCGCCCCGGAGCACAATTTTTGTTGTCTTTCTCTTGTATTTACTTCTGATGCTTCTTTTCTTACCCATAAAATAAATTGTATTATATCGAAGTGGAATTCTATCTTAGCTCTTCACGTAGATGCACATTTGTCGGTACTTGCAGGAATTCACAGGAGATATCACGCACAAAATTGATTTCAGTAATTTACTGTAAAAAGTGTTTTCCCTGAAGGGAATTAAAGAGAGAAGGAAAACCACAGCAGGTTCCACCGAGACTTGAACTCGGATCGCTGGATTCAGAGTCCAGAGTGCTAACCATTACACCATGGAACCACTACAGAGCAAACTGTCTCGGTTACTTGTGATGTGTTATAGAAACTCTACTAAAAGCATTTAGTTTGTCAAAGTCAAGAATTCTTAGTGTATGTCCACTCACGACACCCTTTCAAAGAAACCTTTGCGAGAGAGAGGGGTTATTTATTTACTTATTCTACCAATTATATTAACCCATAAAATCTTTTTTCTGCTTAATTAACTCAGAAACTTGGTGGTCCTGGGCCTTGCTTTCTTAAGAAAACTGTGGGATTCTTATATATATATGTAAGAACTGGACTGAACGTCTTATACTCATTATGTGATTTAATGCTTAAAAACTAGGTGAAGTGGGTTTTAGTCCCCATGTAGACGGGGAAACTGAGGCTTGGAGATCTTATTTCTTTAATCTGCAACTCTGCTGAATTTCTGTCTCGTGATATTTTTCTCCGTATAGATTATTTAGTTATCGGGTCTATTGCCTCTAGGCAAACAAGCTTTAATATGTCGATTCCAGGGAATTCACAAAATTATTAATAACTTTTTGCCCCAGGCTAAGAATCCCTGCATGTGGACTTCTCTTTTTTGTTTAGCATGTAGCCCAGTATTAATAGTAACTATTTAAGAAAACAAATCAGTCAAGTGAAAAAGCTGCTAAAGAAACATCCTCTTTAAATTGAGGCTGCATGATTCATTAACCTCAACATTGTAAATTAGGAGGCAAAGGTGCACCCACGCATGGAGATGAAATTCTAGTCAAACCAGTTCCAAGTGTCTCTCTCCTCTCAGAGTGGTTATGGGATGTGGGTTCCTTAGGATGCAGTTTTGGGAGACTATAGAGTCAGCTATCTGTAGGATAGGCGGAGTGGATGGAACCAGGCTTATTTTTTAAGCAGACAGTGATTAGAACCTCTACTGCAGCTTCTCCTCAACACTCATCCAGAGTTTCTCATGAGAAAAAAATATATATTTGAATTACATTTTTCTCATTTATTTTGAGGAAGGAAACTTGAAAAAGTATGTCTAAATAACAGTATTTCTCTTAAATCCCAATAAATATTCTAAAAACTGTATAAATTAAAGTCAGATTTTTTTTTTCTCCTAGGCTTTTCTAATCACAGTTGTTCACTTGGAGGCAGTGTCTGGTATTTCCAAGTCATACTACATAAATCATGCTATATCCAGAATTTCTTGCTTCTAGAACATCAAAAGATAGGGGGAAAAACAGGATTTGATGGAAGTAAAAGGAAAAACTCATAAAACCACAATTATAATGGAATATTTTAGCACAATATACCTCTCTGAAAACTAATAAAAAACATAAATGGAAAGATAACCATCAGATAAAGTAATGCAATTCACATAACATACATATATAGAGAACAATGCATACATCAACTTCAGGATTTAAACTCTTTTCAAACACACATGGCTTATCTCAAATTTGACATTTTAGCAGATCACAAAGCAAGTCTCCAAAAACATAACATGTTAGATACATGCTACTATTTCACAGTAATAAAATTATACCAGCCATCAATACATGAAAATTAAAAAGTGTATTTATTTGCAGAACAATAAAGTTCTAAATAATTCATGGTTTAATGAAGAAATCACCATCAAAATTAGGAACTGTTTCAAAATAAGTGATAATAAAAATAGTACATATCAAAACATGTAGTATGCAGATAGAAGGACACTTAGACAGATGTCCTTAAATACATGTATAAAAATAAAATAAATGCTTAAAAATAACAATCTAAGCAGCCATGACATGCAATTAGTTCAACCACTAATTTACTACCACAAGAACTTTAGAGAAAGAAATAATGAAGCAAAGATCAGATATTAATGCAATTGAAACTAAATATAAAATAGAGACTATCAACAAAGTCAATAAAATGGCAATATCTTTTTATGTATTTTTGATTTTCTATTGTGATAAAATATACAAAACATAAAAGTTATTATTTTAACCATTTTGAAGCATATAGTTTAGTGGCATTAAGTACATTGCATTATTGTGCAACCATCACCACCATCTATCATGGAAACTTTTCACATCTTCCCAAACCGAAACTCTGTACCTATTAACCAGTAAGTCCTCATTTTCCCTGCATATTTTATAACAATACTATCAGGTTTTTGTATGGAGATTGATAAATTGATTTAAAAATATTGTGAAAGTGAAAAGGGCCAAAGTAGCCCAATTATTTTAAAGAAGGAAAGTAAACTTAGAAGACTTACTTTACCAAATATAAAGACATAAAGGTAATATAATTAAGAAAATATGACATTGTCCAAGGAAAGGCAATATCACTAAGTAGAATTGAGGCTTAGATCTCCACATTTAATACTCTTGCTTTATGAACAAGGACACATTGCAGAAATATGGAGTAAGAATAGTCTTTGTATAAATTGTGAATATCTATCTATAAGGAAAAAATGATTAAATGACTATTCACAAGGAAAAACAATAAATTTACCTATTTCACATTACCCACAAAGCCAATTCCAGCTAGACTGTATATCTGGATGTAAGTAAACAAATAAACAAATAAAGCTTCTGGAATACAACATAGAGAAAAGTCTTCATGACTTTGACCCAGGGAAATATTTTTTTAATTTGACATTAAAAGCATTAGCCATAAAGGGCAATCCTTTTCATCTAGATCCTGAAGTCCTTCAGTTCTGAGAATTTTTCTTGTATTTCTTGATAAGATTCTCCTCCATTTTTTCTTCTTTTCTTTTGCTGGAATTCCCAGTAATCAGATGATATTAAATTTCCTGAATTGTTTATTTAATTTTCTTTTCGCTATTATTTTCCATCTTTGATGTTTATCCACTTTTTTGGAAGTCATTCTAAACTTTATCTTCCAAATCTTCTGTTAAATGTTTTTTCTGCTATTATATTCTTTATTTCCAAGAGATCTTGGTCTCTTACTATAATTATAATTTTAAAAAAACAGTGCCCCAAGTCCCTATTCCTAGGAAAGATAGAATAAATACGTTTTGCTTTTTTTCTCCCATTGAATACAACTAGAAAAGGTGGGCAGAATGTGTGAGGCAACTATAGTTTTGAAGACTTTGAAAACAAAAGAACAATAAGTAAGCATATGAGAAAAGAACTCCAGCATTACTTTGTTTGTTCTCCCCAAATTGATCTATAGATTTAATGCAATTGCTGTCAAAATCCCAGCAGGATTTTTTGGAGAGAATTAAAATATGCTTCTAAAATCTATATGGATAAGGCAAAGGAACTAGAAAGACTAAATGTTGAAAGAGAAAAATGAAATGAAAAATCACACTACCTGATTTTAAGACTTGCTTCAGTAATCAAGATAGTGTGGTATTGCCAGAAAGATAAACATATGGATCAATTGATCAGAATGAAGAGTCAAGAAATAAACATACTCAAATATGGCTAATTGATTTTTGACAAAGGTGCAATGAAGAAATAATAATCTATCAATAAATGACATTGGGACAATATGATATACATATGCAAAGGAAGTTAGGAAGAGAGAGAGGAAGGAAGAAAAGGAGGAAGGGATAAAGGAATGAGTGAAGGGAAGAAAATGGAAGGAAAGAAAGAGGTAAGTAAAGAAGGAAAGAAATCCTGACAGAAACCTCACAATTTATACCAAAATTAACTAAAAATTTATTATAGATATAAATATAAACATAAAATAAAACTTTTAGAAGAAAACACAGCAGAAAACCCACATGACCCTGAGTTGAATGATGAGTTCTTAGATATGGCACTTTCCATAAAAGAAAAAAATAATAAATTGGGCTTCATCAACATTCAACACATTTGTTGTACAAAAGACACTGTTAAGACAATGAAAAAAAGAAGTTTAAAATTGACAGAAAATATGCGAAAATCTTGTATCTGATAGAGGACTTGAATCTAGAATATATAAGGAATCCTCAAAACTCAGCAATAAGAAAACAAGGCAATAAAAAAATGGGCAAAAGGCACAAACAGACACTTTATCAAAGAGCATATAGGGAGGCAAATAAGCACACAAAAAGATATTTGACTTCAGTTATCACTATAAAATGCAGTGGTTCACACTTGTAATCCTAGCACTGTGGGAGGCTGAAGCAGAAGGATCGACTTGAGGTCCTTGAGGTTAGGAGTTCAAGACCAGCCCGAGTAAGAGTGAGACCCCCATCTCTACTAAAAATAGAAAAATTAGCCGGGTGGCATGCATTTGTAGTGCCAGCTACTCAGAAGGCTGAGGCAGGAGGATCACTGGAGCCCAGGAATTGGAGGTTGCTGTGAGCTAGGATGATACCACGGCACTCTAGCCTGGACAACACATCGAGACCCTGTATCAATAATTAATTAATTAAAAAATGAAACGCAAATTAAAATCACAATGAAATATCACTATTAACTTATCAAAATAGTTAAAACAAAAAATACTGATAATATCAATGGATGATGAGGAGGAGAAGCAACTAGAACTTTCATTCATTGCTATCGAGAATGAAAAATAGTAAAGCTACTCTAGAAGATAGATTAACAGTTTCTTATAAACATACATTTTCTGTATGACCCGGCAATCCCAGTCCTAGGAATCTATCCAAGAAAAATTAAAGCCTATGCCCATTAAAAAACCCTGTATACTAACATTTATAGTTGTTTTTATTTTCACAGTTGCCAAAAACTGGAAACAACACAAATGCCCACTAAGTGGGTGAATAAACTGTGGTACATTCATACAATGGAATTCCATCCAGCAGCAAAAAAGAACGAAACTTTGATATATGCAACAACTTGGGCAAATCACAAGGCATGGTAAATGAAAGAAGCTACTCTCAAAAGGTTACATACTGTATGATTCAATCTCTATGACATTCTCAAAAAGGTCAAACTATAGAAATGGAAAAGGTTATACATGGCTGTCAGATGTTATTTGTGGGATTAGGGAGTAACTATAAAGGAATAAGGCTAGGGAGATTTATAGACTGATGGAACTCCTCTGTATGTTGATGTGGTAGGGGTTACATGAATATTTACATATCCTTTTAAAAAGTTAATTTTGAACCTCATCTCCAGGTCCCCTTCCAGTGTCCTCAAGGTTTTTGTACTCTGTGCGCGCTGCCAGGTTCCTAGCAAATACCTTGAGAAGAAGGAAAGAGTTTTTGTACATTTAGAAATTGAGGTTCAGGAGAATCTTGACAGTCAAAGTGTCATTAAATCGATGAGCAACAGCTTCAGGATGTTCAAGGGCTTTTGTGACTTTTCTGGATTCTGTGCTTCACCAATAGAAGAATCCCATGGAGCATGAAATTAGTTCTTGCAATTCTAGAACCGTGACTGATGAATTGGTGACGTTCAAGGATGTGGGCATTGACTTCTCTCAGGAGGAGTGGGAATGCCTGGACCCTGCTCAGAGATACTTATATTTGGATGTAATGTTGGAGAACTATAGTAACTTGGTGTCGCTGGATTTGGAGTCAACAACATATGAGACCAAAAACATATTTTCAGAAGAGGATATTTTAGAAATAAATTTCTTTCAATGGGAGGTAAAGGAAAAAGGTAAAAATATAATAAAGAGTATTAATTCATAATAATTTTTTAAATAACTAAAAATAGCTTCCCTTTTGTGATATACACTAAATATACTCCATGATTTCTCAGAGACACTTTCGCTAAATGTTCTTGTGGAAGGGCTTACTTTGAGCAGGATTTGGAGGAGAGAAAACCACAGACGCTCAGGCATTGCACCTTGCTGAGGAAGCAGGAGTTCTACAAGTCTAGCAGAGCAAACTGCTTGAGGCACTTCATTTTCTTTGGGCAGTACGCGGGAGCGCGCGGTGGTATTAACAGAAGAATATGTGTGCCGTCACAGTAGGGTTAGAGAAGGGAGAATGGTAAACGCTGGTCTGTGCCAGTTTCATAGTAACCTAAGGCCTAGGATATTGGATAATAAAACCTCGGTCGTAGTCGGCAGGACTCGAACCTGCGCGGGGAGACCCCAATGGATTTCTAGTCCATCGCCTTAACCACTCGGCCACGACTACAGCTGTAAGAAAGAGCCTCCTTACTCAAACCATAAAAGGAAATCCTTCTGGCCACTCTGTATCCTGCAGAAATTAGTAATTGTCAATATTTAGAAGCGCTAAGACGAAGGTATTCACCACATACTCATTTTTATTTTGAACAAACTTTGGATCAACTCATCAATGAGCTCCTGCTTCCCTCAGGGACAAGTTTGGCTCTACTGGGTGCTGGAGCTCTAGAAACTGTTACTAAATTTACCACGGAGGTGAGGTCACAGCTTAATCCTAGTGTTAAACCTGGATGGAACCTTCTGCTAAAACTTCCAGGAGCCCAGCCTCCTGGCTGAGTGATACTGTGCTTAATGGATTTCAGGAAAGAAAATGTTCCCCCTGATTTGTGTCTAAGGTGGAGGGACAGAAAAAACAATGCTGAAAACCTTCTCTGGATTTTCTCACTTGGCGTACCTAGGCTCCTAAATTTACACCTATTCATTCCAACGTGTTTGGAAAAGCGCTTTGCAAATGCCAAAGGGCTTTCACTTTCTAAACAGTTAAGAAGAAACTCATAAGCCGGCCCATGAGCTTCTTTTCCTGTGAGACCCTAGCTGCTTTCTAAAAAATGGATTACCTAGTTTAATTTTTTTGGCCAATGTAAGGGTTCATTTTCTCTAAATTTAACCAACACAGCACTTTTCCAGTTCTCTGTTTTACGTTTGTAACTCACCAGTTCCTTTAGCAGAATGTCCAGATGCTCTACAGAAATGAAAAGAACAAAATGGTTAAATGTGGATGCCAGATCCCAGGATACATAGATGAATAGGTCTCCATTTTATAGTCAGCAAATGTTACTAGGTAAGATGTGAGAGCTGATGAATTTGATGCATCTTGAGAAAGCTGAGATAATTGCTTGGATTGAATACACTGTATTTAACCGGAAGTAACAGGGCTTTTAAAATAGAATTATCTTTAATTCATAGATAACTGAGAAAGTCTTACTTTTTTTCAGAAAACGAGATCTTTTTCAAGATGAAATGATTTCCTATTGTCTGTAATCAGAGAAGATAAACTAAAAAAATATAATCATGGAAAGTAAGAGTGCATCACACACTCTGTGCTTATATATAGATTCAGAGTATTTTCGGCGTGATTTTCTATTGGCAATCTTTGGAAAATGCCCAACCATTTGCTTTAAATGATTGTCCAATATATTTTAAATCTCTATTTTCTGCCTGTTTCTTTAGAAATTTTTTAGAAGCAGACTTCTGTCATAAGGGCTCCCCCCAGTATTTTGAATGCCAAAAAAAAAAAAAAAAAAGTGAATAATGTGTGCCAATATCCTCCAGCCAAAAGTCACCAGGAATACACTTGTAGTTCAACACTTTGGGCTTATTATTTCTTGTAGCAAATAGGAACATACACCATAAGAAACTGCGGGGCATCTCAGTAAGAAGGTATTAAAAAATACGTACAGAATTTAGTCTTCTGTTAGGTGGTTTGGGGGGAAGAGTTAAAGAAGCAGGAATTTGTTCTTGATTAGCTGCTGTCTGAAAGAGGGGTAATTTTGTTATTGGATAGTGTAATAGATCTTATCTAGAAGGAGAGAAGATTGGAGCAATGTTAAAACTTTAATTGCTAAAAAAGTTGTAGTCACTCAAATTTGCCAAGACAGAGGGATTTTGAGTCACCTTTTTTGTGATTTTAATAATGTTTGTGTTTTGTTATGTTCAGACATGATTATAGCGTGCTGGTCATATTTTTGTTTTGATCCATCATGGTCACAAAGTAATCTTGTCTGATATCATCTGTGGAATTGTTCAACAAGAGAGCATCAAGGCCTAGCTGATAATGACAGGTCAGCCTCTGAATGTCAAGGGCTGCTTTTATCCTTCCATATTTTGTATTTCACTAATTTAATTGAATATTAGATCATAAACATTTTTCAAGTGCTTCCCAAATGCCATTTTAGTGATTTTGTAATGTTCCATTATGCAGGTGAAATAAAAATTATTTAAATATTGACTTTTGTTAAACTTCTATGTTATTGCTACTCTGCTACCATCAATAAAAAGTACCATAATTGTTTTTGTGCCCAAATGTTTTTCTTTAGTTAAGATTAATCCCCCCATTCAGATGATGGGTACACTAAAACCCCAAACTTCACCACTATACAATATATAAATCTAATGGAATTCAACTTGTGCCCCCTAAATCTATTAAAAATGTTTTTTAAAGATTAATTTTCTAGGATGGTGTTTTGCAAAAGCAATTACTAATTAAGTGTTTTTAACATCAAAATGAGCCAAAAATGGCTACATTTGCTAAGTGCTCCGGTTGCAGGAACAAATAACAAACTTCTCCACTATGGAGAAGAGAACGTTGTTCCTGTTATCCCAGAGGAAAACAGAGGTGGGTGAAATTTACCTACAAATGAGAGTTCTCAAGATAAGGGCATGAGAAAATTTTTTCCTTCTAATCTGAAAATTCGAGGAGATCTACTTGTTTGTGTCCTGGCAACTGCACCTCTGTTCCCCAAATTAGGAACCAGAGTGTAAATTTACTGCCCCTGCCATACCTGCTGGCTCAGAGGAAGCTGGCTCAACATCCTTCTCTCATAAACCGCAACATCTCTAAAAACCAGAATCAGGCAGAGCACGGTGACTCACGCCTGTAATCCTAGCACTCTGGGAGGCTGAGGCAGGGGGATCTCTCAAGATCAGGAGTTCGAAACCAGCCGGAGCAAGAGCGAGACACCCCCCCCCCACTAGAAATAGAAAGAAATTAATTGGACAACTAAAAATATATAGAAAAAATTAGTCGGGCATGGTGGCGCATGCCTGTAGTCCCAGCTACTCGGGAGGCTGAGGGTGGAGGATCGCTTGAGCCCAGGAGTTTGGGGTTGCAGTGAGCTATGATGACACCAGAGCACTCTAGCTTGGGCAACAGAGTGAGACTCTGTCTCAAATAAATAAATAACCAAAATCAACCCAATTAATAATAGAGCTGAATCTAGTCTAGTATTTACATGTTTCTACCTGTCCTTTGAGCTTTGTGCGGGAGAGAATGCCCTCCTCTGGAAAACCTGTTCTCTAGGATTATTCTTTTTCCTCTGATTCCTGTGGCTGCGGGCTTCCCTCCCCTGGGGAGAGATCTCTTTGGAGCGATTATGCGTCCTTCTCTAAGGAATAGAGAAGTGAACTTTTTCTGAGCGGATTGGAGATAGTGGCGGAATCCTCCTTAATCGTTTAGGAAGGCAGCGGGTCAGCTCCCCGCGGACTCTGCAGGCTCTCCCGCTCCAGTGCGGTTTTGAATACTCTGTGTCTTGAGTCAGGGTACGAGCAGCCCAATTAAATGCCATCAAAAGACTCACTGGATACTTATTCAGTTGTGAAAGTAAACGCAGAGGAGGAGCTCAATTCTTTCAAGCACCCTTCACTCCCCTTTTCTTGCCCATTAGCATTCGAGTGTCCGAGGCTGCTAATAGACGACTCGCAGCTCCGGATACTTGAATGTAAACAGACACGATTAGCTGGAGAATAAACTTTGGACAAGAACGCTCAAATTTCACCATCCTGATCAGTCCTCAATTTGCTAGCGATGAGTTCTTTACTAGCGACAAGCCTGGGATGAGCCAGGAAATTCTTTGTTGCCAAACCTAAAGTTTGCAGACAGTCCACACACCAGACACCTCACAATCACTATTATCTCGCCTTAGCCCAAGTGGACGGTGGCACGCCTATCACACATTTTCATGAGTCCTAATTTACAACATCTAGTCTTTCTAGATAAAGAGGTTGCCAGTGTATGACAAAAGTAGAGTTTAGTAAACTGATGCATTGAGTAGACTTTGAGTTAAAATTCATAGAAAAGACTGTTCTTAAAAATACTTCTGGAAGTGAAATTGTTAAAATCCCTTCTAAGCAATACAGATGCTTAGACCTGTCCACTGAGTTGGTAGAGGGGAAGGAGGGGAACAGTTCTAGGCCAGAATGTTCCTACTTAGAGGATATTTTGAAATTATAGCTTTTCAATGCTATTGTGTACAGTGGAGAAAAACTTAAATCCCATTTGAAACATCTAGTCTTTCTAGATATTTAAAAGTACATAACATATGTTAAAAGTAGAGGGCTAAAGTAACCCCCTTTGAGTGTTTTTTGTTATTTCATAAGAGTGGTTGCATTTGGGGAATGGAATTTATAAACTTGATGTCTTAGAGAGTATGCTGCGATTGTGTGTGGGAGGAGGGGAGGAGGCAGTATGAAGAGAAGGGTTCTGTGCCAGTGAGTTAGATTAGTTAACCATTGTTTTATATGTGCACTTTAGTTAGTATTGCTGTGTATTAAAGGATAAACAAATCCTAATGCTCAAAGTATGGTAAAAATAGAGATAGTTAAAGAATCCCTTTATATGTGTTCTTTTGTTAGTTTTTAGGAAGGACCGTCTTTTGGGAATGACCTTTGTTAATCCACTTCTTGGAGCTAGATTTAGTCCTGTACTTAGCCACTGGAGTGGGGGAAGAGGAGAAGAGGAAGGGTGCAGGAAAAGGCTCTTTGCTAGTATCTCCATATGTAGAAGATGGCTTTAGATTATAACCATCAGTCTATATGTGCATTTTTAGTAAAGTATCTGTTTATCGTAGACAAAGTTCATTATTTTGGAACATCTAAGCTTTGGAGATATCTTGAGGTCACCATGCTTCTACTCTGCCTTCTAATAATATTTTATATGATCTGTAGAATCAAATATTACAAACAAAGCAAAAAAAACCCTCTACTTTTTGATTGTTGCTTACATAGAAAACAGTCTGTACTAAATGATTTTCAATCAGTGTTTAAATGTTTGGATTCTTGTCAATAAAAAATTAAAAGTATTGGAAGCCATTAACTAGGGAGAGTTACTATGTTACAGAATGGAAAGTGAATAGTGAATGAAAATCGCTTTTTCACTCAGGTATTAAGCAAAAAAGAAATCACTGCTCAGAAGTGTTTACCAAGCAGGTACTAAGGCAAAAAGGTTTCTCCTAATTCTTAAACTTATGTACCTCATATTGCATACCACACAATATATATCACTTTCCATTTACTTCCCATCCTTTTTCTTCCTCCAACAGGAAAGAAAGAAGGAAAGAAGGTATGAGAGTGAGGAATGAGGAAGTCCAGAAACTGATGGAAGAAGCTTTGGGGGCCAGGAGGAGCTTTGGGGGCCAGGAGGGAGGAGGATCCCTTCTGGAGAGTGAGTTAACGCTCAGTAAGCCTGCCATCCGGGCCGATGCAAACGCTGAGAGAGGATGTATGAGGAACCTTACGTCTTTCTCACTGGCGCCCTCTCTACTTAACTTCATTCTTAAATTAATTTAAGGGGGGAAGAACACGTGATACCCGAGTAAACTGGCTGAGAAAAGTGACAACAGCCGGTAGCTGACAAGATCTACCTACCACCTTCTCGTTCCTTAGGTTCCTAGAAGTCCCTCGAAGGAACTAAGCAAGAGACGGGCAGTGGTCAGGGGCCGAGCCGACCGGGCGGCGAGGCGGGAGCGGGAACCGAACCGCTCTCGGTGCCGGCCTCCAGGCTCGAGGGCTGCAAGAACTTTTTCACACAGCTCAACCTTCAGCTCCGGTTTAAAACTCGCTCTTTTTCTTTGCGTTTTTGTAGACAGTTCAGAGCTCACTGTTTTTGGTTTTGTTTCCTTGCAAGTTTTAGAATAAATTACAGTATATTCTTTTCTAGGTGCCACATGAAGTCAAGAGGCCCCCCGGGCCAGAGAAGTCCCTTTCCCTTACTGCTTGTCATTATCTAGGGTACGGGGACCTTAAGGCTCCCGACTGCCGGGTTCTGGTCTCCGTGGAGGCTTTGGTTTCAACCCTACTTCTGTCACGGTCATTGTTTGTTTCTGTCGTATTGCACCAAGCCATCTCTGAGTTGTGACCACCTGAGATTTCTTCTTTTCCGTCCACAACTCTTTCCCGTTGTTCAGATCCCAGCGGCTCTCCTGTTCCGCGTCGTCAAACTTGGA